CCCTAACACCCTGACTCCTCCAAGCTGTGAACACATCCTCCCCTCTGTTCGTTTCTTGACCATGTGGAGATATACAGGTAGGCTGTCCCTCTGCTCTGATCAGCCACAGCCCTGCAGCCCAGTAGACACTGTGGGCCCCAGGACCCTAGAGCAACTCTTTTGCTCAGAAATGTTCAGGGAAAAGAAGGCGTGCACACGCGATGAGTTGTCAGGAGGATAGGAACCACATAAGGGAGAGCAGAAAGCAACATGCTGGTCGAAGCCAAGGTTCTTTGGAATTTTCCATTATAATATACTCAGTGTGGGAAATTTGGAAAGGAACATCTGGGGGGGGAGGGAAAGGGGGCTTAATCTCCAGATCCCAGGGAAAGCCATGAACATTTATGACAAATTTTCTTTGATAGCTTTACATTATCCTTAATCGTAGTTCTTCTATGTCAAACATAAAATTTTACATTTCTTGGAACAGAACTGCTACACAGAACCTGTTACCATACACAGGGATAGATGAGTGAGTGTCCATTTACTGGATGACTAACTTTTGTCTCTTATGGGCACACACTAAGAATTTTCCACAGCCCGTTCACCTCCTGGGGGACATTGAGATTTTTAACATTTTTTGCTATGACTGAAGAAAAATACTATACTGTAGCCTTATTGTGGTTGGGCCACACCGTCCAGGAGACTGAAGATCTCTTTGCACTGGGCAACCTAAAGTTGACCCATAACTTGCCCATGTTTCAGGCTCTGAGAAGTGAGCCCGGGGCCCTGCGGTCTCCGTGAGCCTGACTTACATGCATAGTTTACAGCAGGGATGGCAGGATAATCTGAACTGTGGCATTGTAAGTTGCTAGCTGTGTGACCTGGAACAATGTTTTAAATTTGTTCTCAGATGTGTCACCAGTGAAAGGGGGTTGACACCCACATTCTAGGGTGAACACTGAAAACTCAAGACAAAATATTTAAATGATAAACTAGTCAGTAGTCAATATCAGGACAACCAGTGTCCACTTGGTTAACACAAAATTCTGTTGCATATTTTCTTATCATGTATTAAAATTCAAAATAAATGCAACATTAAAATGTGAATGGAAAGGAGGAGGAAACAGACTGATTCTCTCTCACACACACACAGATAGATAGATGATAGATAGAATAAATGTGTCCATTCTGTAATGTCAGAATGAAGGCCACTCTAAGGAAAATCTGCACACCTTTCTGAGACAGTAAGGAAGTGACTGATAGAATGAACATACATCACTTGTTAAGAGTAGACCCATAGCCAAAGTAACATATTAAATAAATAAATCAATCCAGACAATGCAAAAGTGCAGGCAGGTACAGAAGAGGAACCTACTTTATCTCACAATACAGGGTTATTTTTAAGAAATCATTATTCATGTGATCCACAGGATTGCAGAATAAAGGATTCATTCATAAGAGAATTATTATAAAGGGACATTTTGGCAGCTCAGTGCTAACATGATATCATGAGTTAGTGCGTTAGTAGTGTTGTCTGCAGAAGGGGGCAAGGAGAGAAATACGTTTGCTGCTCCCCCGCCCTATCCTGGCATCCAAGCAGAGCACAACAGGAATTAAGTAAGTCCCCTAATCCAGGCTAAAGCCTGTCCACCTCAGCTCCCTCTCCACACAGAGGAGTGAGTAGAGAGGATGGCCAGGGCTAGGTAACAGAGAGAGAAGCCAACTGCTCAGCGAATAGGTTCTCTGGATACTGGCACTGGCAGCCCCCTCCCACTACCTGTGACATCCTTGAAAGAAGGGACTGCCCAGAACTCCCCAAGGCATGGGTGCTCATGCGTACTTGAGTGTGGAGGCCTGAGGTTAACGTCAGGCCTCTTTCCCAATTGCTCACCACCTTAGGTTTTGAGACTCTTTTACTGAATCTGGAGCCTATGGATTAGGCTAGGCTGGCTAGACAGCACCCCCCATCCTCCTGCCTCCCCATCCCCAGTACAAGAATTATAGGCATATGTAGCCAGACTCTAATTCTGTGTGAATAGTAGGAATCAGACATGGGCCCTTGTAAGCATAAAAAAAAGTCTTTTATTGACTGAGCCATCTTCCCAGCCCTTCGATATATTTATGGAACTTAATTCTGTGGTTCTATAGCATGAACTTGTACATAACAGTGTTGTACCAGAATGTCTAAAGGTGGGAAACCCTGAACATCTACAGAGTGAAGCTGGACATGTTCCCTTCAGAACTGTAAGATAATAAATGTGTGCTTATTTTTTAAAGATTTATTTATTTATGCTAGAGTGTCTGTGTGAATGCTCCTCTGCTCGCCAGCAGAGGGCACCAGATCTCACTATAGATGCTAGTCAGCCACTATGTAGTTACTGGGAATTGAACTCAGGTCCTCTGGAAGAGCAGCCAGTGCTCTTAACTGCTGAGCCACCTCTCCAGCCCAAATGTGTGCTGTTTCAAGAAAAGAAAAAGAAAAGCTTTCACTCAGTGAATATTTGCTGAATGTTGGTCATGTTCCAGGTGCAGCAGGCACCAGGATGCATCTGGGAAGGAAGTAACTGTGACGTACATTGTGAGCACATATCACAGTGTACACTGGCGTGTGAATATGTGTGTTCTCAGTCCCTTTCATCGAGGTGAAAAAAAGGGATTTCTCACCGTTGTGAGTTGAAAGGAAATGGCCCTCAGAGGAAGTGGCACTATTAGTAGGTGTGGCCTTGTTGGAGGAAGTGTGTCATGTGGGGACGGGCTTTGAGGTCTCTCTTGCTCAAGCTTCCCTCAGTGTGACAATCAGTTGCCTGCAAGATGTAGCCCTCTCAGCTCCAGCATCGTGTCTGCTGTCTGCTGATGCTCCCCATCGTGATGATAATGGACTGAAGCTCTGAAATGGTAAGGGAGCCACCCCGATGACATGTCCTTCAAATGAGAGTTGCCATGGTCACCGTGTCTCCTCACAGCAATAAAAACCCAAACCAAGACAGAAGCTAGTACCAAGGTGCGACATTGCTGTGACAGACCTGGCCATTTGGGGGAGTGGGATTGTGAAAGGACTTTAGGACTTTGGGCTGGAAGACCCGTTAAATGTTAGGAGCTCAGTGAGATGTTCTTTAGGAGCTTGGAAGGTAAGGAGAAAGCAGAAGATGGAGGTCTGGCTTGCAATATTCCAGAGAGAAGTTTAAGGTTTCCATCAGGGCCATTTGTTGTTTTGGATTAAAATCCCGTGGTTCTGGTAAACTGGGGCTGAAGAATCAGCTGTGGTTAACCAGATTCCAGAACAACTAAAGCAAAACTTTGCTTTGCTGGGATACTTGGCGCTGGTCGGCTGGAGCTGAGAAACTATCGGTGATTAAGAAGAGACCAGCATCACGGAGGTGAAATCTTCCGGGAAGTGTTTTCTGAGAGCACAGAGAAGCTGTGGGCCGGAGGCAGCCGAGATTGTACCTCGTGCTGAGAGCCAGACTTGGTGATGTGTTAGAGTCACCCAGGCGGGACTGGTTTTGAAGGCATGAAGGGGTCATGGAGAGCAGCTGTGGCTTGGCCCTTGAGAGGCCATTAGTGAAGGTGAGTGCAACCTCGATGGCAGCTGAAGGCCCAGGACTGAAGTTGAGGCCTGACACCATGAGGAGGGCCTATGACAGGCTATTGGTGAAAGTGCAGCCCGGTTGCAGAAGACCCAGCATTTTGGAGATGCCAGTATCCTGGGATGACCTCCAAGAATAATGGAGTGGAGCCAGCCAGAACCTAGATGACAAGCTGTATGAGCTGCAGAGGGCAGAGCTGGAGAAGAGACCCAGCCCCTTGGAGGAGCCCAGAAGACTATGAGTAAATTCTGGATAATTGGACATTGAATTGCTTGGTTCAGATTGTGCCGGTACCCTGGTTCTTCCCTCTCAAAGATGAAAGATTTGAGCTTTTAAAGGAGATTGGGTATTTTAACGAGACTGACATTTTAAAGACTGAATTTGTAAAGACTGTGGGACTTGTAGAATTATTTATGATTTTAATGTGAGATCTTGGGGATGAATATGAAAGGAAGGCCTAATAGTGCTGTGTTTCTGTGTCAAGATGACAAGGTGGGTACGCTGTGCTGGCTGCTTTTATATGCCAACTTGACACAGCTAGAGTCATTGGTGGAAGGAGCCTCAGTTGAGAAAATGCCTCCAAGAGATCCAGCTGTAAGGCATTGTCTCATTTAGTGATCAATAGGGGAGGGTCCAGCTCGTGGTAGGTGATGCCATCCCTGGGATGGTGGTCCTGGATTTTATAAGAAAGCAGGCTTAGCAAGCCATGGGAATCGATCCAGTAATCAGCACCCCTCCACGGACTTTATCAACTCCTTCCCCCAGGATTCTGTCCTGTTTGAGTTCCTGTCCTGACTTCCTTTAGAGATGAAAGCAAGACTGGAGTGTAAGCCAAATAAACCCTTTCCTCCACACTTGCTTTTTGGTCAAGGTGTTTAGTCACAGCAATAGAACCCTAACTATTGACACTCATCCTATATAGTCCCTGGGCCCACACAGGCATCACAAGGAGAATAGCATCCTTGCAGGGAACAAATGGTCATAAGCATGGGACAGATGGGGCCTGGGTGGTCCACTGAAGGACCCTTCCGAGGGTGACTCAAGCTGCCTCCTTCCTCTATGAAACTCCTGATTGAAGTTACAGATTCCACAAGAGAGTTCTGGGCTCCTGGTCCACATCCCTGGGGTTTAGGACCCCTGGGTTTCCAAATAAACACTATACCCTTCACAGGCCTGGCTGTGTTCTCCTGGGTCCAGCCTCAGAGGATGTTAAGGACCTTGTAGTCATTCATCCCTAAGAAGCTAGACTGAGCTGCCCATCCTCAACACACCGATTAAACAAACAAGTTATAGTGAAAGGCAGAGAGGGGAGATGTATTCGATGTGGTCACGTTGGGGAAAGGACAGCACACAGTAGACCCCCTCTGTCCCCTAAGTGCATCTTCAGGGTTCTGACAAGAGTCTTAGGTTAAAAGAGAACAAGAAGTGCGTGTAACTCAGTAGTTTAATCAAGGTGTGGTCCTGCCCATCATAGGCCCATCATTGCCTCAGCTCCAGTCTCTCCTGTGTAGTCTGACTGGAGTGTATGAAACCTCTTTCTGAGAGACAAGCTCTGCCTCTCGGTGACATCAGCTCCAGTCTCTCCTGTGTAGTCTGACCGGAGAGTATGAAACCTCTTCCTGAGAGGCAAGCTCTGCCTCTCGGTGACATCAGACTTCATTCTTTTCCTTCTCCCAGCATGAGATTCCTGGGAAATTCCAGCTTCTTGGGAACCATTGTTTCAGCTGTCTGATAGAAAAGAGCAAAATGTCTGCCTTCAGGATGTCTCTGTTCTGCCAGGAACAATCAATTGCCCATTCTTCATTTTTACACTTCACTCTCTTAAAAATGTTAACATGTATCAATCTATATATTTATTTACTTAGTGTGTGTGTGTATGTGTGCATACCCTCATCTATTTATATATTTATTTAGTGTGTGTGTACAAGTGTGCATGCCCACATCTATTTATATATTTATTTAGTGTGTGTGTACAAGTGTGCATGCCCACATCTATTTATATATTTATTTAGTGTGTGTGTACAAGTGTGCATGCCCACATTTATTTATATATTTATTGTGTGTGTGTGTGCGCGTGCCCTCATCTATTTATATATTTATTTAGTGTGTGTGTACAAGTGTGCATGCCCACATCTATTTATATATTTATTTAGTGTGTGTGTACAAGTGTGCATGCCCACATCTATTTATATATTTATTTAGTGTGTGTGTACAAGTGTGCATGCCCACATTTATTTATATATTTAGTGTGTGTGTGTGTGCGTGCCCTCATCTACTTATATATTTATTTAGTGTGTGTGTACAAGTGTGCATGCTCACATCTATATATATATATATAGATATAGATATTGTGTGTGTGTGTGCGTGCACACACACACATGCTGAGGTGGATGTGTAGAGGTCAGAGGACAACTTGCAGGAGAGAGCATGGTTAGTTCTCTCCTACCAAGTGGGTTCTGGGGATTGAACTCAAGTGTCAGTGGTGACCAGTGCCCTTTCCTGCTGACCCATCTCAACCCTGAGGGATTTGGTGTGAAATCCCCTGACATATGCTGTGTCTGAAACATCACAAACAATAGGAACTAACAGCAGGGGGTACTTCCATTACTGTGAGGCGACCATGTGTGAGAACCATCCCTCCATGACCTCTTGGATTTAGTTATGTCTGGAAGGGCTGGCAGAGGTGACTGTTTCTCTGGTTGGCTTTGAGACAGAGTCTTGTCATGAACACAGGCTGCCCTCAAGCTTACCATTCTCCTGTGTCAGCCTCCCAGCTGCTGGAGTTAGAAGCAGGCATCAGCACACCCAGGGAGGCTTTGATTCAGTTTTCCTGGCATATCTCTGAACAATTTTCTCTATCATCTACCCTATGGTTTTATCTGTCTCTTGTTACCAGAATGAGGTCGGTTCTGGTTAGTTTGAGTAGGGTCCCAAAAGCCTGTAAAGGATTTGGAGACAGCGCCTGTTCCCACTGTTAGAAAAGGACCAAGCTACATAACTGTTACATATTTGCAGAGTGCCTATGTCAGTCCTATGCAGGCTTCTGGTAAGACATATTTCTTAAGAAGTTTGAAGTGTGACACAATCAGTAGGAAAAAATGATTGTCTTAGCAAAACATAAAATCCTGGTAAAGCAAACTAGATACAGAAACAGCTCATCTCATAGCATTATTTACAACAAAGTATACTATCTATCTGCAATGAATTAATATTGAATAACTATTGTCCCAATAGCCAAATTAACCCTTCTCAATATTGACAATATATATATATGTATATATATATATATATGTGCCACATGGCACATAGCCTAGGAACTGTAAAAGTGCTCTACAAATAAGCTATTGATAAAAGTAATCTCTTTAAATTTAAGTTGCCTTTGAAATTTAGAAAGTTTAGGAATTTCCTGAGCTTTAACAAAAAAAGCATGGTTTAGCAGTCTAATTGTCCTTTAAAGTTAAGATATGAGTTGCTTATATTGTAATCCTATGACAAAATTTTTCTCAGCCTCAGTTTCCAGAATTTATATTGAAAGTATTCCACTAGTAAACTCAAAATTTACATTTCAATTCTTGTACATTTTAGTTAGGTCTGACTGAGATATATAATTATATATATATAGAGAGAGCCATAAATTATATATATATTATATGTATTTATATATAATTGTATAATTAGTTTGTCTTCAGTCCTATCCTATAGTTAATTCTTAAATTCTTGTATTTTTAATTAACCTCTTTTGCAGTGGAAAATACACTAGCAATAGCTCCTATATATTAATGCTGCCAAAAAATTGTTCCACAAGCTCTCACATTCATACATAAATACACATTTTAAATTATACATGCCAGGGACAGTGTTTTCACTTTGTATGTAATAAGTTCAAAACAAATTTAAATGTGTAGTCAGAGGTTTGTTATTTAGTTATTTTCAGGATTGAGTTTATTTTTCTTCTCATGCTCTGTTAGATACAAAATGACACAAAAACAATTACATTGAATCATCATACATTTGTAAAACACTGGTCAACTTGGAATTCTCCAGTGTAGACCCCATGTTCTCCATGGTTACAGAGTCACAACAGAGATTCCTCTCAACTTTATTTCCTGCCTCAAAGATTCAACAAAATCCCTGTGGCTCAGCAGAGCCCCCAAAGACCCACACAATTTAACTTTCTCTGTCATTCACGATGACCAAATAATTCAACATAACTCTGAATTTGCTCAGGAAGCTTCCAAACTGACAAAGCCAGTAACATGAGCAGTGTAGTGTCCAAATGGTTCAACAGACCCCAGTAGCTAACATTAACCCAAAAGACAATCACCAAATGACGGTTGTCAAAATGATTCAACGCCAATGACAGTTCCAAAGAGCCTCGAACTAAGAGGGCGGCAAAGTTCAAAGGGCAATGATCACAGAGCCCCTCACCAAAAGGTGGTGTAAAGCAGCAGCCAGAGCTGCCTGAAGCAGGAGACAGCAAAGGCAACTCCAGCAGCTGCAGGAATGTTTCAGTCTCTGTACTCAGGGTGAACTTGAGTGATGATACCCAAAATGTGTCTTGTCTCTTGGCTGGCATTGTTAGCCTCAGAGACTGGTCCCTGGAAGCCCTAACAAGCTAGACTCAGCCCCTCATCTTCAATACACTGATTAAAGTAATATTGGAATTCAGAGAAAGGAGAGCAGTTCAATGTGACTGCGTTGGGAAGAGGAACAAATGGAGTTCAGTGTCCCACTGCCCCCCCCCGTGCCCACTCCCACGTCCATCTTGAGTTCTGACGTCAGGTTTAGGTTAAAATACAGGGTAAGAGGAATACACAGCTAAGCCAGTCCTGGGAAGGGTGTGTTCCAGCCCATCCCTGATGCACTGTTGTCCTGGCTCCTGACTCTCCTGCAGGTGCTCTGAGAAGGTCTCAGAACTGTTTGAAATCTCTTCTGAGAGACAAGCTCCTCCTGTAGCTAAATGCAGGCTTCATCCTTTCCCTTCTCCCAGAATGAGATTCTTGGAGAAATTCTAATTTCATGGGTATCATTTCTTCAATAATCTGATAGGCCAACTATTTGGTCACAGCCTTCAAAGGGAGGGGCACATGTGTCATAATAAGAATATCTTTGCTCCTGTCTAAAGAAGTACAAGGAAAAATGGCAGGGACACCTCTCCCCAGATCTGTATAAGGCAGATCCCCAGCCAGGGGCCCAGAATGTCACCTGAGGTGTGTACAGCCAGCCTAGAAGCCCAGACAGCACTGTGGTAGCAAGAAGATAGTCACTCAAGCATCTGGGTTCTAGACCTGGAAAGTTTTTTGAAAGTTTTTGACTAACCTTCACTACCACTGGTTCCAGCTCTATGCTCAAAACCCCAGTCATGAAAATTGCTGTGCATAAGGAATTGCCTATTATACACTATGCGAGACATATGCCGAGGGAGGGGGAACACTCTCATCGGCCAAAGTATGTGATGATCCTTGACAGGGACCTCCTATCTATCAGTGAGGGGACCGTGTGAATGTCTGCGGTGAAAGGAAGCATTCCGCACTGCAGACTTCATGGGACTCACAACAATTCTGGAAATAGCAACAATACGAGTAACCACTGGAGATGCTGAGAACTTACCTTAGTGAAAACTGGTAAGCAGGGAGAAGGACAGACTGTTGAGACAAGCATTACAGCCTGTGAGACAGAGAGGAAGAACAGAAACCAGCTTTGCTTTGCAACTGTGCAATGAAACAATAGCGTGCAAAGACTGTCCTGGGCCCCATACCACACAGGAACAGCAGAGGGCTTCTGATGACGGTCTACACTGCAGGCAAGGAGTCAGAAAGGAGAGTCATAAGAACAAAGGAAGAAGATGGAAAGTCCTGTAACCCCAAAAAGAGCAGTGAGGAGGCACAGTAGGCCACCAGGACCTGGGCTTCTTGAGTCCTTTCCGGTGCCAATGTAGAATCAAGGTGGTGAAGGATTCCTGTGCTTGCCTTTACAATTATCTCTGAGAAGTTCCTGAACACAGCATTATGATGTCATGTTGTGACGTCTGGAGGGTCTAAGGAAGTGTGTGGGGAGTGCTGGTATGCCAGTAGAAGTGAGGTACATGACCATTGTAGGGCCTTTGTTTTCTTTTCTGTCTGAGAGCTTCAAAATAAATACTCCACGTGTGAGCATGGTGCTCTGTTATAGACCAGCAAGCTGCTGGAACTGGACGGCCAGCCTCTGGTTCCCTGCCTCCATGTACAAGGTGTCCTTGGGCCATGAATCCAATGTGTGGCCCCCACTGTGAGGGAGCAGCAGTGGGGTTCACCTGTGGGGATTTCTGCTGTGTGATGACACACATCTCAGGCGTGTGCGCGCGCACACACACACACACACACACACACACACACACACACTCACACACGCATCTGTCTCCTAGCCCTATCATCATTGTCCTCTTCTATGAAATGGATGTCATCAGCTCTTCAACCATGACGTGCAGTTTTAGAGGAGCCCAGGTGTATGGAACACATGCTACACTTCAAACCACTGTCTTGAAGATCTCCTGCTCACCTGTCTCTCCTCAAGGCTTTAACTACCCAGACCCCGACCAAGTGTCCCATGCCCAGTTACAAAATTGGACATAGTTGTCCTGAGACAGGGGGCCACTGACCAGACATCACACACACACACCACGACCACGTTTACATAGGAGGTACCCTATTAGAACCCCACATTGCATCCAGGGAAAAGCAGAAAAAAAAAACTTGGCGAGAACACCTTCTGTGCTATGGCAGGGCACCTGTTCTCAACTGGAGATGTAAGAGAAAGCTTCCAGCAGCCATCTTGCCTTGTAGGGTTCTACAGCAGTACGGTGACTCCTTCGTTCTTTAGCACAAACACACCTGAGCCCAGAGACCAGTCCCTCCTGAGATACAAAGGTCACATCCTTAGTGTCAAACAAATGCAAATCTTTACCATTGCTCCCTCCTTTGGCAATGCCACCCTGCTTCCCTCTGTAATATCCTACAGTGTCACAGATGTCAATGACCCTTGAATTTGTGGTCTCTGTTAGTTTATCCCCAAGTCTCAGAGACAGAAACAAGAAGCCAAATCTGAGACTTCAGTCACGATTCAGCAGCCGCCACAGACTAATATAACCACACACACACACACACACACACACACACACACACACACACACACACACACACTGTGCAGCATGGCCTAATGCCAGCCTTGCTGAGTCAGGACAGCATGTGGTAGGACTGGCGTGTGGCCAAGGGCAGGCTGAGGTGCCCTCCTGAGCCAGCCCGGGAGGCAGGACTGGAACACAGGCTGTCAGAAGCATGTGGGAGGGGGAGTCCTGGGAAAGTCAAGGTTGCCCTGGTACATCCTGCGGCATCTCCAGTATGTGTCTTACATCAGAGCTGCTGTGACCTGTGTCCTAGCCTCGCCACTGAACTGGCCGGGTTACATCTAAACCTTGGTTGGTAACAAGGACGAGCCAAACACAATGACTTCTGGAAATATGGAATTCACTCCTCAGCATCTTTTCAAGGTTGCTGATCCTGCATGGTCACCCTGACCCAGGCCCTCAGGTCTTGCTGCTCTCCCATTTTTTTTCAGGGACATTTCTCAGTAGGGCTGGAGGCTATGAGCTTCTCTGAGGAGTTGGGCGAGCTCATGGTTTCAACCTTCAACCCATAGCTCCTATCCCTTCAGGTACTAGCCATGCCAAGGAGAAGGGACAGGTGCCAGGTTTGGATCAAATGACCGCTATATCCAAGTTGTCTGCCACTCTCCCTGGTGACAAATCCTGGCTGTGCAAGGACCAAAAAGATTGATGGGCAGTTTCCATTATTGGCATATCTGTTCCTGCTGAGCTGCAGGATGTCAAACCTGTGTCCCTCATTTTATAAGTTGTAGGGTTCAGTGACATTCTGCCTCTAAAGGATACGAGGATGCATGTTGCATGCATGCATGCACACGTGTTACATGGGACCACTTTTCTCTTGGAGAAACGTCTCAGGAGAACAAATTCTACAAAGGGAACTAGACCTAGACAGCATGCTCCATCCATCCAGGGTGGAAGATAAGCCGGCTGAGAAGAAATCTAGTGACACCTTCCTTCTACCCCTGTCTGGGAACGAGAGTTCCACTGTACACTGCAGATATGATGGTGGGGTGGGTTGACTGGTGTCCCCTAAGGACGTTACTGTCATGTGATGTCAAATTAACTTGTCATGCTAGATTTTGGATGCAGCCTTTTCCATGCCTCTCCTTAGCTTCCAATAGCATTTCTAACAGGAATCCCTGATTCTCTATAACGAGCAAATGCAACACAGAGGCCATCCAGGGACGTGAGTGGTCTCCAGGGGGGATTTCCATGTGCACCTGTACTGAATTAACCAGGTAAATCAGCTCGTTTTGGAATTTGTATAGCAAGACACTGTGGTTGGGTTAGAGAGATGGCTCAGTGGTTAACAGCACCGGCCGCTCTTCTAGAGGACTCCGTTTGGGTTTTCAGCACCCCCGTGGTGGCTTACAACCAGTTCCTGGAGTCCTGTTGCCCTCTTCTGGCCTCTGTGGGCACACACATGGTATACAGACCCATATGCACAAAACAGAATCTTAAAACGGAATCTGTGGTTAAGGAATGTATCCCAAAACATTCTTGTCTGGGATTAACACTTCCGTCGCAAAGGACACAGAGAACACCCAACACTGTGAAAATTTCTCCAAAACTGCTGTGTGACAGGGACAATGGCCTCTTAGGTAGCGTGGCACCCATATCTGTCTGGGAAGTATCCCTGACTTGGAAAGCAGGTTAGGGAGCATGGGGCACAGCCCTGTCGCCAGCCCCGCCAGGGTGTTTGTCATCTGGCAGGCGTCCTCGGTCACCTTGCCGCCGCCTGCTGACTCTAAGTTACACATTAACCCACAACTCATTTCCAGTAAAGAGGCATCAGGGTTTGCCCACGGGAGCCAATAGGATTACAGGCCATGGTTCTATACATCCAATGTCATCGAAGGACGGGGGCTCCTTTTGCACCTGGCCCAGCGGCCATCCGGCTCTCGGGTTCCTTTCTGCATCTGGAGGGCATCCATCCGTTCCTTAACTCACCCTGGAACCAGTTCCGTCTGCTTTCTGCCTCTTTTATGAACTAACCACCGAGTCGATAATTCTCCCGCACCTGTCCATGCTGTGTGCGTAAGAGCCAAGCTTAAGGGCCATAAAGTTGCACTTGTGTCCCCGAGAAGGAAAGGCAGACCAGGGCATGGCAACTCCAGGTCAACAGCACCCAGGGGACAGTCCTGATCCATCCCAGCTACACCCCTCCCCCCCAGGATTGCAGTTATGGATCCCATCTTGGAGGCCAGCAGTAAAGGCTAGCACCCATGAGTCTTTCCAGGCTAACCCTCAGCACTCCAGGCTGACACCTCACAAATGGGGTGAACTCACACTCAGGTAACATGGGCACCGATCCCATAGGACTGTTTCTGTAGGAAGAGGAGAGACAGGTGCAGACACACACAGCTCACACAGAAAGAGGCAGAGACCAAGTGTGCATCTGGGAACACGGAGCCGCGTGGATGGGTGAAGTTGGAGAGACAGAAAGGACCTCATGGGCTTTCTTGACATTAGATTTTGGGGGTATAGGACTCACAATAAATTTCTACTGTTTTAAGATTCCCCCAATAAATAGATCACTTGGCTGTCCCAGGGCATTGGCATACCCAGAGTCAATGTCCTCCAGGGTATACACATCTAGATAGCAGAGCTGGGCTGTCCTTGAGCAGCCTAGAGCTGACTGCCCATTCTAGAAGGTTAAAAAAAACACTGTTAACACCAAAGTAGCTGTGTCAGTCCCAAAGATGTGTACAATTGCTGTAAATGCCTTGGATAGCCTCCAAAATACTATTTGTAGGCATCTTCCGGCTCTGCGGGGAGTCTGGTTCCTTTTTCTAAATCAATGAATGCAAAGCTCATCAGTTTAACACGAGACATCAGCAAACCACAGCCTCTGACAGGAGATGTCCACTACAGTCCGACTGCTTTTCTTTTGGTTGTTCTGCATACGCTTCTCTCGGCATTCACAACCCAGGGCCTGATCCTTGTGGGCACTGGTTTTATTAGGCAGTGTGACTGACTCACTATAAGCTCAGTTCGAGCCAGGGTGGCCTCCAGCCGGCCAGGAAGGACATTACAGACTCAGTGCAGCTCCATGTGATGCCTGTGCCAGCGGCCCTGAGTCCTTCCCCAGAGGACAGATGGTCTGACAAACACACGGACATGGACAGAGAAGACCTCACTGCCTGTAGACATCCCTTTCTTCCAGATGACAAGGGCAGAACTAAGCACAGCTGCCAGTGTTCCCGTCCTGGTCAGAGGGAGGTGTCTGGGCCAGGTCTGCTTGTATTCTTTGTAATTCTATCTTGTATTCCTATTATGCAAACTGTAAATACAAAGCTGGCCTTTAGACCAATTGGCTATGCAAGGACTCCTTCTCGCCTGTGCACCTGTCCCGGAGACCCACAAGTGACCTTGATCACCAGGTTGGAGCTTGGGATTCCTTTCCTTAATGCTTTTCCAGAAAAGCCAAATAGCTTCCGAATCTCACCATGGGAACACACAGGACATCTTGGTTTTCTCCCTGGGTGATTTTCTTCCCTACGTGGTGAGCCTCCGAAGACCTCTGAGGGCCACTATGCAGGAGAGCAAGACAATCACTCTCTCCATCACCAGTAGGCCTTTGCAGTCCAAGACCACACTCACACCAGCCCCCTGAGCACCAGAGAGTCATGGTATTTGCTTTGAGTCTCTGGAGGCTACTGGGGACTTAGGCCTCTACCTCTATTGTGACTAGCACACCCTAGTTGCTATAAAAGTCTCTTTCTGCAGGAGTCCAAGCTCACTCTCAGAGCTGCCCAGGTCTTTTGCAATCATGCTTGTTAGAATGGACTACATGTTCATTAGAAAAAATTCAGATGTATTCATGTGTAAATGCCATGAAAGGAGGTCTTATTAGGCCTGCGACATAAAGTCTGGGAGTCATACCTTGGCTCCTCAAAGGGCTGGCTGGGACAGCTTGCTTCTGCCCCTTGCCCTTTGGGGCCATACACAAAGCTCCTTCATTACCCCTAGGTGCTACTTTCCTGTCCTGGGTCCCTACCTAGAGAGCACCAGTCACTGGACTGGACACCCCTTGCTCTCAGAAAGGTGTAATCAATATCTCTGTGTTGGAGGTCCAGCCTTGGGTAAGGCCCTCAGGCAGTTCTGGGCATGCAACACCTGACTTTGGGACCCTCAGCAGGGCGGACCACACATCCAGAGCTACCAAATGTGTTCTGCACCTCTCTTAAACTGAGCTCCGACCTGCTGCTGTCTGCCCCTCCACCTTCTGCTAAGGGCTCCGCCTGCAGCTCTGACTTGGCCCCAGCCAGTCTGTGTTTAACTTACGTTTCTCTGCTGAGGCCATCTGAGGCACAACCGTTTTCATGTATTCCCTCTCCAGACCGCCTTTGGCTTCCGTTTACAGTATTTTGATGAAATGGCTGATGCAAATAGATGCCGTCCATTATTTCCACCTCCTCTCCCCACACGCTCACAGACTCCGCAGATCAGGAGAACCTGGCATTTGTTCTCCGCGGTTCTGTTTGCTGCATTCTGTCCCAGGTCTTCAGACCTCCTAGTCCTTGAGGCTAGCTGGGCTCACACCCTCCTCCAGCCAGCCTGTGCCGGCCCTTCCTGAAACATGGAGGCGCTAGGCTTTCTTCTGTTGTAGTATGAACCCCTGATGCAAATTATCTCACACCATGTGGCTTGAACGTTATTTTCACAGTGCTTAAGGCTGGAAGCCCAGCCGGGCGTTGGTGGCTCACGTCTTTAATCCCAGCACTCGGGAGGCAGAGTCCGGTGGATCTCTGTGAATTCGAGGCCAGCCTGATCTACAGAGTGAGTTCCAGGACAGCCTCTAAAACAATACAGAGAAACACTGTCTTAAACAAACAAACAAAACCCTTGAAGTGGTCAGGAGATCCAGTGTGGGAGCTGCCTACAACAGCTGTCTTGAGTTTAGAGGATGCTTGGTTCACAGTGACTACTTGTGGTGGGTTCACAGTGATGGAGGAGCAGGATGGCTTTTGAGTTTAGAGGATGCTTGGTTCACAGTGACTACTTGTGGTGGGTTCACAGTGATGGAGGAGCAGGATGGCTCAAGCCTCCTACCTCTTCTTATATGCCACTGGTCCCATCAGGAACTCCACGGGACCTACACTCACCCTAATCCTGCCCTGGTGGCCCTACCGATGGCTCCATCAGTTTGGGTAAGAACTGAATATAAGCATTTGAAGGATACACATATTTATTGTATAGCACTGTTTTTTGTGATAGATTGGAGTATGGGTGTTTTCCTGGGAAGACCAGTACCTAGTATCATGGACCCTCCCCCCAGCAGAGAGCTGCTGGTCATCTTCTAGTCTGGAGGCAGTCTGGACTGGACTGGACTGGACTGGACTGGACTGGACTGGACTAGACTGGACTGGACTGATGGTGAAGGAGCTATGCTGACTGTAGCAGGTCTGGGGGGTGGTGAGTGGGCATGAGGTCTCCCAACTCTCCACACCAAGGAGTTCATTCTCGGTATCTCCGTTAATTATCACACTGAACCTTAAACAAGGGCACGTCTTATGCCTTTCTCTGCCTAAGGAGATCTGGGTGTGAAAAGGGAAGATGGCTTTCAAAGGTCTAGACAGGCCACAGTGGGAGAGCTTGATAGCTCCCACCAGAGCCAGAACACCCACCTCTGCCTCATCCTTGGTGTTCTAGAACACACGCAGCCCAGGATCTGGGACCAGGGCTGAGACTGTGTACGCTAAACCATAATCAACCAGGCTACAGCAAGCAGCTTTGCCTGGAAGATAAGTACTGTTTCCTGTTGGAAAAGTGGCACAAACACTCCATAAAGGCACTTCTGTAAAATCTCATTATTAAATGACAGGCTGTAAAGGACGATGCAAGAGATCAAGACTGAGCAGAAAGCATCTTGGTTCTGGGGCCAGAATTCTGGGCTGTAGCGCTGAGAACATCTGGGAAAGCAGAGTCAGTGGCATCCAGAGCAGGTGGCAGATGGCAGGTGGAGCACTCTTCACAAGGACTTTCATCCCGGAGTCATGAAGGTTAGCATCAGAGTGTAGCCTGGTCATTGCATGCACACAAGCAGATATCGAGGAAATGGGAGATTCCGACCACTGTAGGTAGGTCCTGAGACTCTGTATCTGCACCTTTAAAAATGTACTGGTTAGGGGCCTGCAGAGTTGACTCACAGTAAACAGCACTGTCTGCTCTTACAGAGGACTGAGGTTCAATTCCCAGTTCCCACATGCTGATTCACAACCATCTGAAATGCCAGTTCCAAGAGATCAGATGCCTTCTTCGGGCTTCTCTGGGCACCAGACATGCAGGCAAAACACCCACACACATAGAAATATTTTTTTTATCTACTGGTTAGATGATCATAGGAAAGGATAGTTTTTAAGGAATTGGACACTGGGTGACAGAGGAGAAAAACCCTGAGAAAAACTGACAAGGGGGAAACTCCCCACTACAGCCTGAAGAGAGAGCAGCCCTATGTCCGTTACAGAAAACAAATGTACCTGTGAAACCATCTCCACAATGGAAATCCAGGTTCTACATGGCATCACTGGTAATCAGTGGCGATCACTTAGCTAAGTAACACCAATTCTTCATAAAATGGAAGGAGTAAACAATAATTCTATGAGGCCAGAATTTGTTGGTCACCCTACGAGATAAACAAGATGAATGAAACCAGCAAAGTGATCCCCTCACAGTAAGGATCCTCTCACAAGATGGATTTTTATCGAACAAATGACAATAATTTAGTAGGATAATTCATCAGAACCAGGTGGGGCCATGCAATGCAGGGTTCATTCAGCATTTGATCGATCAAGGCCCCTCACATGGTAAAAAACAGAAAAGGAACTAGCATGGTCACCCCAATAGGTACAGAAGACGCATTTAATTCATTTCAATATCCATCCCTGTATTTTTGGTTGCGAGCCTAACCTTTAATGGCTGAATCATCTCTCCAGCCCCATCCTGAATTTAGAAAGGAAGAATCACAGACAACTCAGAATAAACAGGAACTTTCTCAACTTGATGAAGGACATCTTTGAGAAACACACAGCCAGTACCACGCTGGAGGATGAAGGACTAGGGTACTGTGTGGTGGTACTGTGTGTGGATTTACCCGCTTTTTCTTTTGGTTTTTGGTAAAGTGGGATTATCTATTGCCCATGTTTTTGTGAGTGTAGTTAACTTCCTTAGTGTGGAGTTTTCCTTCCAGTACTTTCTGTAGGGCTGGAGTAGTGGATAGGTATTCTTTAAATCTAGTTTTTTCATGGAATATCTTGTTTTCTCCATCTATAATGATTGAAATCTTTGCTTATTATAGTATGACCTCTCTGGATTTCCTCACTGAACCTCTTAGAAGAGAAAGTGGGAAGTATCCCTGAACAAATTGGTACAGGAGACAGCTTCCTGAACATCAGTAGCATAGACACTGAGACCAACAATTAATAAATGGGACCTCCTGAAACTGAGAAGCTTCTGTAAGGCAAAAGACACAGCCAACAATACAAAACAGCAGCCCACAGAATGGGAAAAGATCTTCACCAATCTCACATCTGACAGAGGGCTGATTTCCAAAATATACAAAGAACTCAAGAAGCTAGTCACCAAAACACCAAAAAATCCAATTAAAAAGTAGGGTACAGAGCTAAATAGAGAATTCACAATAGAAGAATCTAAAATGGTTGAAAGACACTTAAGAAAGTGCTCAACATCCTTAGTCATCAGGGAAATGCAAATCAAAACAACTCTGAGACACCATTTTACTCCTGTCAGAATGGCTAAAATCAAATGACAGTTTATGCTGGAGAGGATGTGGAGAGAGGGGAACACTCCCCACTGCTGGTAGGAGTGCAAATATCAGTATGGCAGTTCCTCAGGAAAATGGGAATCAGTCTACCACAAGGTCCAGCAATTCCACTCTTAGGCATATACCCAAAAGATGCACATTCATACAACAAGGACATCTGTTCAACTATGTTCATAGCAGCATTATTTGTAATAGCCAGAACCTGGAATCAACCTAGATGGCCCTCAACTGAAGAATGGATGGAGAAAATGTAGTACATTTACACAATGGAGTACTACTCAGCAGGAAAAAGAAAACAGTGGAATCTAGAAATTCACAGGCAAATGGATGGAATTAGAAGAAACCATCCTGAGTGAGGTAACCCAGTCACTAAAAGACAAACATGGTATATACTCACTCATATATGGATTTTAGACATAGAACAAAGGATTACCAGCCTACAATCCACACCACCAGAGAAGCTAGGAAGCAAGGAGGACCCTAAGAGAGACAGGCATACATGGTCTCCTGGAGAAGGGGGAAGGGACAAGATCTCCTGAGCAAGTTGAGAGCATGGGGGAAGTGGAGAGGGAGTTAGAAGAAAGAGAAGGGGAGAAGAGGAGGGGAGAGGAGGACATGAGGGAGCAGGAAGATTGAGTCAGGGAGGAGTAGAGGAGAGCAAGAAAAGAGATTCCATAATAGAGGGAGCCATTATAGGTTTTTCTGGTGCTAGCAAAATGTTCAGAGATCTGCAAGGATGACCCCAACTAACAAGCAATAGTGGAAAGACTACCTTAAATGCCCTTCTCCGGTAATGAGATGGATGACTGCCTTATATGCCATCCTAGAGCCTTCATTCAGTAGCTGATGGAAGCAGAAGCAGACACCCACAGCTAAACACTGAGCCAAACTCCTGGAATCCTGTTGCAGAGAGGGAGGAGTGATGAGCAAAGGGGTCAAGACCAGGCTGGAGAAACCCACAAAAACAGCTGACTCAAACAAGGGGGAGCTCATGAACCCCAGACTGATTAGCTGGGAAACCAGCATAGGACCGGCCCAGACCCCCTGAACGTGGATGTCAGTTAGGAGGCCTTGGCAATCTGTTGGGCCTCTGGCAGTGGATCAGTATTTATCCCTAGTACACGAATGGACATTGGGAGCCCATTTCCCATAGAGGGATACACTCTCAGCCTAGATACACGGGGGAGGGCCTAGGTCCTGCTCCAAATGATGTGACAGACTTTGAAGATCCCCCATGGAAGGCCTCACCGTCCCTGGGGAGCAGAAAGGGGATGGGATAAGGGTTGGTGGGGGTCAGGGGAGGAGGGGAGGGAGAGGGAACTAAGATTGACATGTAAAACAAGCTTGTTTCTAATTTAAATTTTAAAAAGGAAGAAATATATTTGAAAATATGTGACAAAATAAAAACAAAATTTAGAGATAGTAAACAAAATGTTTACTCTCTAAAATGATTTATAGATTCAATGTAATCCCAATTTAAGTTCAGCATTTCATATGCAAATGAGAAAAGAATAAACCAACAATTTTGAGGAAGAAGGGAACATTTGAATATTCATACTACATAACTTCAATTACTGTAAATCTACTATCATAAAGAAGAATGGTATTAGCCAGGTGTGGTGGCACACACCTTTAATCCCAGCTTTCAGGAGGTAGATTGATCTCTGAGTTCAATGATAGCGTGGTCTACTGAGTGAGTTCCAGGAAAACCAGGGCTATACAGAGAAACCCTGTCTTGGAAGGAAAAAAAAGCATGATATTAACTTTAAAAAGAAATAAATTGAACAGAACAGAGTCAACAAAGAGACCCACACATATGCAGCCAATTGATGGCTGCCACAAAGACAAGAGACCAGAGGTAGAATGGGCTTCAGTAAACGGTGCTGTTACCACATGTATACACACATGTAGAGTCTTCAGTAAACAGTGTAGAACTATGTACGTTACCAAATGTATACACACATGCGGAGATCTACACCTCAACCATTTATGCAGAATGCTGACTAACAAATAGGTCAACACTATTTATGACCAAATGATTATTCACCTGAATAACTAATGTAAAATGGATCATGTTCCTAAACACAAAACTTAACTTGACAGTACTTTCCAGAATAAAATCTTTATGATATCTTACTAGACAATATAACACCAAAAACATAAAGGAGGACAATCATCTCAAACTTAAGAAGTCTGCTCTTTGAAAGACAATTCTAATAATAGAATGAAAACGCAAGTCACAGGCTGGAAATAAATATTTACAAACCACACATCTGATAAGGGACTTTTATCTGGACTATTTAAAGAATTCTTGAAACAACAATTGGAAAAGCAAACATCTCAAACAGAAGGGAAGAGGGAGGGAGGAAGGAAATTTAAACACACTTCAACAGAGGAGTTATTTCAATGACAAAATCACACTAAACTGTACTTAAAATCATTCAGATTTAAACAACAGGATGCCCCTGTGTATCTACATAATGCCTACCATTTAAAAACTTCAGTAAATATAGCTGAAGTCTAGAGCGAGAACCTTCATATACTGCCGGGTGGGTGTGAAACGGTGTGATCACTTTGGGAAAGGGCTTTCTGTCTTCTCTCAAAGTTAAACGACTATCTGCCACATGAACCAGCCATTCTGCTCTTAGGTATTTCCCAAGGAGAAATGAAAGCACAGGCTATGGAAACAGCTTAGATATAATGGCATTTGCAGCCAAGCCTGATGATCTAAGTTCAGTCCCTGGAACTCACATAGTTGGGGGAGAGACAGAGAGACTCCTACAGGTTGTAAATGTGTGACACACACACACACACACACACGAAAGGAAAGAGACGGCTTCTACAGGTTGTATATATACACGCACACACAGTAGACAGACAGACAGTGCGACACACACACACACACACACACACACACACACACACACGAAAGGAAAGAGATGGCTTCTACACGCACACACAGTAGACAGACAGACAGTGCGACACACACACACACACACACACACACACACACACGAAAGGAAAGAGATGGCTTCTACACGCACACACAGTAGACAGACAGACAGACAGACAGACAGAGACAGTTCAAGCTACCTCCTTAATCTGCCACCCCTGGTGCTGCCTGTATGCTCCTTCAGTGGGGACCTGTTGTCACTTTTGTGAAGTGGCAGCCGAAGTGACTCTGGTGCTCACCATGGCCTTGGAGAAACCCAAAGAAGGAGTTGAGACAGAACAACGATCATATTAATTTGAGGGTGGCAGGCAGATGGTTTTGGGGGCAGTTTAAGATGAAGAGGCAGACGGCACTTGATGAACTAATGAAGCCTGTTGTGAACAACGAGGTTTGTCAATGAGATCAGATTGTTTGATGGGCAATGATCAATGACACCACAAGCCTGAACAGTTGGAAAAGAAGGAAGAAGAAACGATGATGTGTTCCAGCAGCAGACTAAAAAGGGAACCTGCTCCTTTACCCCAGAATACATTCTCAATTAGAAAGCCACAATCTGGTTTCCACCACAGTCTGACCATCGTATAGTTTTCTTTATTCTTTCATTTCCAGATCCCCATTTCTTTATTGTACGCAAACTAACTGGTGTATGGACACAAGCCTATTGTGGTTTCTTTTTTTCTTTTTTAAACTAAATGACCAATGTTCTGTTTTAATTGACATCAGAAGGGGATGGTCTGGGGAAAGTTCTGGTTCTATGAAAATATCCCCCTCTCTCTGTTAGTGGCATGTTCATTCAGCTCATATCTGTATATTCCAGTAAGTTATTTTGTTCTCATTGTTTTAACAGATGAACCCAACAACATAAAATCCCTGCATACTGTCTTAGGGTTTCTATTGCTTTGAAGAGACACCATGACCATGGCAACTCTTATAAAGGAAAACATTTAACTGGGGAGGTGGCTTACAGTTGACAGATTCAATCCATTATTGTCACTGCAGGGTGCATGGTGGCGTGCAGGCAGACCTGGTGCTGGCTGCATCTTGATCAGCTGGCAACAGGAAATAGACTGTGACACTGAGCAAAGCTTGAGCAAAAGAGACCTCAGACCCCTCTCCTAAGTGTTATACTTCCTCCAACAAGGCCACACCTACCCCAAAGCCACACCTCCTAATAGTACCACTCATTTTGAGCTTATGGGGGCCAGTTACACTGAAACCTCCACAATACCTTATCCGATTGGAGAATTTAGTGCTTTTTATTTATTGTTGTAAAACCAAGGGCAATTTTGTAACTTTTTTGTATATAGCTGTTACGTGTAGGACTACCTGTGAATTATCCTTGAAGATGATCCTAGATAGTTTTCTCTTCAAGCCAGCCACCTTGTTGTTTAAATCAACTTCTGGTTTAAAGTGAAAATAAAATTCAAGAGAAATGAAAGCATGCTAGCATATAATTTGTACATAAATGGTCCCAGTGTTCACAGTTAAATTTCCAATAAAAAAACTAATTTCCATCAAGAGGTAGCATACATCCATATAATGAAATATACTGAGCAAAAGTGAAAATATGCTGGCTGAAAGGGCCAAGCAAAAATAAGCTGTTTTCTATAGTATAGGAACTGGGACACACACACACACACACACACACACACACACACACACACACACACGAAAATGAAGGATAAACAAGGGTCCAAGGCACTTTGATGGGTAGTGTCGTGTCGTCTGACCATGGTGCCACCACAGGAGTACTCAAAGGTCTCAGGAGGTATGTCAAAATCTAGCTTAGAGGTGCAACTTAGTGGCATGCCCATGTATTGATAAGGCTATCAAAACCACAAGCAAACAGAAACCAAATATAATGCTGGTTTGTTCCCCACCCAGGACAACTCCTTTAAAACAAGAACAAGAGGTTCACAGCTCACGTGTGCCCGAGAAGTGGCAGCGGGGACAACGTAGAACTGGTTCTGTCCAGACGCCTTGCCTCCGCCAATCTCTACAAGTCACTCCAGTTTGTTCCTGATGAGAGAATCCACTGGCTTCCCTTCTTCCAACACCCCAGACAGCATCAACCTCACGCCCTGTGGGGCAGAACCATCTGCCTCGCCTTTCCCAGGCCAGGGCCCATCCAGTGTGGAACGCTTACCCGATTGTTTCTTACCTGCTTTCTATTTCTGCCCTAGTAACTTGTTAAAGATTTTAAAGTGACCTCAAGTCATCAGTCCTCCTCTGTGCTCCACACGTGCTTTTCCTTGCTCAGTTTCCTACGTCAAAACCAAGAAGTGAATGTATTTTGTTAAACCAAGTGTCTATATAACAGGAGGCATCTTTACTGGGACACTCAGTAGAAAGATTGCACTGAGAATTGGGGGGGGAGTGGAACTGAGGTCTGGGCTTACAGCAGCCAGAGGACATCTGAGCCATGGTCACACCCTACAAGCCAGAGAAGCCTCCTCTCACCAGGGTGGGGGTGGGATCAATCAAGTAACTGGGAACGACATTGCTTCTCCAAAATCCCACAGGTGCACAGGCAGCAGCTGCAGATGACGCCAAGGAACCTGCAAGCCACTTGACCTCCACCCATGGTCCCAACTTAGAACTTAGGAAATGGTGGACAGAAATGCCAGAACTCCATTTGGCTTGCAGCGAGTGTACCTGTGGAGGGATTAGTGAAAATCCACCTATGTTTTTGGAACTGGTGTTTCTTCTTAAAGAGCAGGAAATTAATAAAGTAAATATTCTTCCTAAGTTCATGATGGTGTTCATAGCGCTGAAGCAGCCTTGGGAGTTTGGGGTGCTGTCTGGCTTCTGAAGCATCTGGCTTTTTTTCACGGGAGTTTCGTGATTCTGATTTGGGAGCAAGCATATCTATCCAATTTTTAATTCCCTTTCAAGATTATTCCCATGACATTCATCAAGATTATTCCCATGACATTCATTTCCCTGAAAATAACATATTTGTTAACTCCGCCTTCAAATGAATGACCTTAAAGAATTCTACCAGTAATGACCTCGCCATGCTTCCAAGAATCTGGGTTGTAGTCACCCAGGGAAAGGGGGTGACTCCCTGTCCTTTCCCATCAGCATGGGGAGGTGAGGGTCACAGGAGCAGGTTTCCCTAGTGGGGTCTAGCCGGCTGTTGCATAATTGCATCCTGCGATTGGTCTGCAAGGTGTGTGTGTGTGTGTGTGTGTGTGTGTGTGTGTGTGTGCGCGTGTCCCTATGACTTTGCAAAGTGTTCTGAGACAAGAGACCAGAAGCTTTGGTCCTGGAGAACACACAACGCTGCATTCAGGCAGTGGTGTGGAAACCAGATTACAGAGGGAATAGCATCTTGCTTACAGCGGGACCTCCATGCCATTGGGTATGACCTCAGTTATTTCCTTTGTGAATTTTAAATCTTAAAACAATGTGCCCGAGAATGAAGACTCCAAAAACAATGCCTGCGGAGGAAGGTAGAAAACATCCAAACTGCACCTGACCAGGGAGCCAGATCTTGTTCTCCTTTCATTTTTACCGCATTCTAGGTCATGATGGCAGAGAAATTTCTTTGAAGATACTAGAGTAGAACTTGTCAGCTTTCCTTGCCTCACCCAGCTTGGCCCCGCCCCCAAGGGCCCCGCCCCACTCGGCCTAGGTCCCACCCCACCCGCCCCAAGTCCCGCCCCCATCCGCAGCCTCCTTCTCGGCCCAGAACCGCAGCGAGCGCCGGGTGCGGCGCTGCTGCCACCGCCGGGATGTGACCTTCACCGCCGCCTGGCCAGGATGACCGGAGCCCCTGTCCCGCGGCTTCCGCGGCTCGCCTCAGCCTCCCGGGTGCTTTGACTGCACATTCCCGGCTGCCCGGTTCCCCGGCCCGGGCCTCGCCATGCCGCCACCGCCCGGGCCCGCCGCCGCCCTGGGCACTGCGCTTCTGCTGCTCCTGCTGGCCTCCGAGTCTTCGCACAGTGAGTACCGCACGGGTCCCTAAACCCCACCACCCCCTAGAGTGGGGCGCCAGGCCCGCACCCGACCTCAGCATCTTGGTGCGGAGTATCCCAGACACCCAAGGCATCCTGGCCGGGACCGCTGGGCTCTTGGCATCACGATCCCGGAGCATCCCAGACACACAGGCATCGTGGTCCCGGGAAACCCCGACCCCAGTCATTCCACCCCCGAGTGGGTGCAGGTTGACTGCACACCCTTCTTTCTGCAGCTGTGCTGCTGCGGGCGCGAGAGGCGGCGCAGTTCCTGCGGCCCAGGCAGCGCCGCGCCTACCAAGTCTTCGAGGAGGCCAAGCAGGGCCACCTGGAACGGGAGTGCGTGGAGGAGGTGTGCAGCAAGGAGGAGGCCAGAGAGGTGTTCGAAAATGACCCCGAGACGGTGAGCGGGCGCTGAGGTCTCAGGGTGGGGGCTGCGCGTCCCAGAACACGTACTTCTGAATGCCAAGTCCTGACTCCCACCCTGCTCAGGTCCGGGGGACCTGGGAACCGGGAGACCCTGGAATCCCAGGCACCCATTCTAGAAGCTTGAGGATCCTTGTGGTGACCGCGCCGCTGCGCGCACCCCGAAACTCTTAGACACCGAGCTTTGTGCCCACCCCCTTTCACCTCATCACTCTTGAGCCCCCGCCCCCCCCCCCCGGTGACCCCCAAGTCCTCTCCTCTTCAGGAGCAGGAGGAGGTGTGTCCTTGAGTGGGGCCCACTGAGGCCCGTGCGAGAGTATCTAAGGGAAGCCCTTTAAAGAAGACAAGCTAAACTTTCTCCCATCCCCAAAGGAAAGGTGCCCATGGGAAAGAAACACAGTGGTTCGAAACTCAAAGACTTCCCCAGGTTGCCCTGATCCTAAATTGGATTGGAAGTGAGGGATGGAGCTCCTCTTTGCTTTTCCTCCAGCGGGACCCAGGGTTTCCCTGAAAGAGGAATTGAAAGATCTCAAGACTGGAATTGCTTGCAGCAGCAAGTCCAAAAATACGATGGCTGGAATTGTGCAAAGAACACGCATTTGCGAGGGTGGGGAAGGACGCAGGGACGGACCGGCACCTGCCTCTGTGAGGGCTGCACCTCTGTGAGGGCTGCGCTGGCCCAGGACAAACTTCTATTAATAATGTCCTTGGGGAACGGAGCAGGCACACAGCCAACGGCGGCCTGCAGCCCACGTGTGCACAGGAGTCTCCACACGAGGTGGACGCGGGGGCTGAGAGGGTTCACGGGGAACACGCCCCAGATTAGATCATGCCCGAGGTTCAGATCTGGACTCTTAAGTGATGCAGAGGACCTCCTGTCACCTGCCAAAGTGGTATGATTTCGCAGTTCTGGGTTCCGTTGGCATTTTCCTTTCAAAGAATTCTTCTGGGATGAAATAAGGATCACATGACGAAAGGATGTCCCTGTGCAAGCCGCTAGGGCCTGTGCTTTGACTTGTGTCTAATCGGCTGACTGGACAATCCCTGTCAAAGCTGCTTTTCAGATGCCAGTGCTACAGCTGTTGCCGCCAGAGCTGCTTTGGCACTGCTACCCAGTGTGGGAGCCAAGATCAGGTGACAAGCTGTGTGACCCCCCTTCATGGTACCCCCCCCAAGGCGTCACCAGCAGTGTAGGAGTGGATCGCTGATCTTTTTATACCCTTACTGTCTTCCTGCTTTGGTGATTTCTCTCATTCCAATGAGTCCAGCTACCAAGTCTAGGGCAGGGCTCCCGGCTCTCGGTCACCAGGGCTGCGGACTTAGGTGGCTGGGTCTGTTTGCTACAACTCCACCCTCCCATGGAGCTTTCCGCCATTCAGAGTGTGGACAGGGCTTGTGGTGACAAGAGTGGAAGGCAAGAAGGCCGCCGCCCAGCCATGCTGTCCCGCCCCTCTGCAGCCTGTCTGCCAGGGCCGACAGGCCCAAGCTGGCCCCTCCTGGCAGCCTGGACATGGAGCTTCTCTCCTTGAGACGAGTCCCTCTGGTTTTAATTGCTTCCATGTTTAATTATAATTTTATTTGCAAAGGTGTGAAATGAAGACATGAAAAAGAGTAATGTATTCTTAAAACTTCTCTTCAGTCCACGGGAGGGCTTTCCCTTTCTGTCTGCATTTGGGTGAAACACCAGGCTATCATGCTGGGAGAGACAGTCCCCTCTGGCCCTGTCACAATCTGTCTCCACCAGGACTTGGCAGACACCTGTTCCCATCACAGCCATCTAGAATTGTCCACAGTTCTCCCAACCCCCTACCCCTATACTCCAACACGTGAATTTTCATGAGTCAGCTTGGATGCCTGACCTATACCTCTTGACTGCAGTATGGGAATTACTGGGTCTGGTGCCCAGCTGCCCCCTGGCCTCTGTGCACAGAGTTCCAAATCAAAGCTCTTTCTTGGCTGCTACCACCTTGATTTGGCTGACAGTCACTTTTCTCCTCTTGCCATGACTCTATGGGCTATAAGGCAAGCTTCAGGAAGAGGTAGGGCTAAGGCATGCTCCGGAGACATGGGGTCCACCGTCTGCAGGGATCTTTGACTGGAGTCTCCCTTACTCCAGACCCTTGACTGGGTGGGCCAGTGGTCCTACAAGCACCACTTACCTTCATGGCCTCGGAAGAGTGGGAGGGGACTCATCTTCCTGACCTTGAAATGTAGCTTGTTGTTTCTTGTGTTGAAGGAGAGCCATGAGACCGTCAAGACAATGGGCACGGCCTGGGCTTGCCCGGAACGTTATGTGAGATGCTATGTGCTACAGAACACCTGACAGTTTCTCCCAGTGGCCCTAGGGAATCCTGACTGGGCCAGGCAGGACCCGCACCGGGGGGCTGATCTTGTAAGTGAGATTTTAGGGCGAAAGAACCAGATCTGGGAGTCCAAAACATTTAGGCTTAGTCACCTGTACTCATGGAGACCAGAAATGTCGAGAAGCAGAGAATGGAGATTTAGTCTGTGCGCAATAAGAAAGGGAATGGACCGAGAGGTCTGGTGGCTTCAGGACTGTCTTTGGGATACTGACTTGAGCTTTGAGTTTGCATAGAAGGCTTTGGGGCATGAGGCATGCGGAATTAAGCAAGGCTTGGCAAGTGTGGTCTGGCTGGTGCCGCCTCAGTTCTGCAAAGTGGTCTGAAGAAGTCCTTACTCCTTGTGGGGACAAGGTGGTCCTCAGGAGCCCAGCTTCTTCATAATAATCATTCTCTGTGATCTCACTGAGACTGTGAACCTTTGAGATCTTTCACTTCCCTTGGGGTCTGGGACAAGACAAGACATGTTGACAGATCTTTGTGCCTTCAGGCTTGCAGGGGTTGAGATAGGTGTGCTTCTCCAGCTTTCCGTAGACAATGCTTGGGTGATTAGCATGCCTACATGCAAAACTAAGCCAGTGACCTAAAGTAAAAGAGATGGGAAACAAAGGTAGAGGAGCCAGGCCTTCATCTGAGTCCCCTTGGGGGCCTGGATGAGGAGCTGGTGTTTTTCTAGTTAAAGCCTCAGTGCTTGCTATAATCGTATTTAGTGCCTAATTAAAATCCTACGGTATTTACAGTGATGAGGTAGAGAGGCCTCTCTCTCTTGCTCTGAGTGGTGTCCTGGCCAATTGTAGCTTACACTCACCTGCCATCCATATTGGGTAGCCCTAGGTAGCTGGAACCAAAGGGACAATCCCTCCTCCCTTGCCTGGGGTGGGGGAACCACGGGACTCCCCCCCTACTGTTTATGAAAAGAACCTGCTCAGTTAGGGTTTCTTCTGACACTGGTAAGGAGAATGTCAGCCCTCAGCCCTCCAATGAGCATAGCAGAGTGGGACTT